TTCATGTCCTCTTTGAGAAGACGATTTGAAGACCCCCTGTCTGATCGCAAAGCCCGTGAAAGAATAACAACGATGAGGCAAGGCAAACGCCCAGTGGCCGAGTATACACAAGAATTCCGGGCCATTGCCAGCAAACTGAATTGGCCAGAAGACATCCTCCTTGGCCATTTCAAAGACTGACTAAACTATGATCTATATGATGCTTGCCTACCCCGAGGGGACCCACATCGACTTGAGGAATGGTACGTCTTGGCAGAGGAAGCAGAGATCGACATATTGAAGAGGCACCGCCGAGGAAAACAATGGAGCCGCCCCCCGCCTGATCTGACACACCAACCGGTGAAATCATCGGATACAGCCAAGAAGCAAATGGTGTGTTTCAAGTGCGGAAGAGAAGGGCATCGAGCTGTAGAATGCCGCTCAAAGGCCCCCCAGCACAACCCAGACAGATCCCCAATCAACAAACCCAGAGGGTATTCAGCTAAGCCAAAAGAAACAGCCATGAAAATGATGGAAATTGCAGAAAACCCCACCTCTGCTCACCAAGGGGAAAGAACTCCAGCCTACACCACAGGGACGGTGGATGCCTCATATGACAGCTCGGAAGGCGAACCCCTGGTAAGTGGACGCATCACACCCATCTTCAAAACAGTGACTATCTTAATCCCCCCCATGCCCGAAGCTGTGAAGGTGAAAGCCTTAATAGACTCTGGCTGCACCCGCTGCCTCATTAGCCCAACACTAGTGGGGAATCTGGGCATCCCATCCAGGAGACTGGAACAACCAATCTACAATTTGCCAGCTAGATGGATCCCATAGCAAGGGGGTGGCCAGCTACCCTACCACTTTGCCAATACATCTCTCCCTGGGCAACCATGAAGAGGACTTAACGTTTGTGGTGACCCCAGGTATGGAATGCCCAATGATTCTAGGGATGGGATGGTTGAAAAAATGGAACCCCTGGGTAAATTGGAGGACGACAGAAATCAAATTCCCGAAGGGGGACCCTATGGACTTAAAACCCCAAGGGAGGCTACCAGAATCAAGAATAGAAAAAGCATCCATAGGATAGGAAAAAAGATTAACAGAAATACCAGAGGAATATAGGGACCTTGCTGAAGTCTTCAGTGAGGAGAGGGCGAATGAGCTTCCCCCCCACCGACCCACAGACTGTACCATTGAATTCAAGCCTGGGGCAAAACTCCCGAAGCCCAGATTATACTCCATGAGCCCAAGGAGAAGGAGGAAATGGAAAGATTTATAAAAAAAAACCTGGAGAGAGGTTTCATTGAGCCAGCCAAGCCTAAAGTGGCTGCCCCGGTCCTTTTTAGAGAGAAGAAGGATGGCTCTTTACGTTTATGCATGGATTATAGGGCCCTGAATACAATCAGTGAAAGCACCCTATACCCTCTGCCCCTCATGAAAGACATGCTGTCACACCTATCGAAAGGAAAAAATTTTTCTAAACTAGACCTAAGGGAAGCTTACTATCGCGTGAGAATTAAGGAAGGGGAAGAATGGAAGACTGCATTTAACTGCCCCATGGGGTGCTATCAATTCAAAGTCTTGCCATTTGGATTACAACGGGGCCCTGCAGTCTTTATGCAATTAATCAATGACGTTCTAAGGAGCACCTGTTTAAAGGGGTCCTTGGGTTTACTGGACCGACATTCTTATCTTTACCGAAACAAAAAGAGACACGTCAAACTTGTCAGAGCGTTTTAAAGAAAGCTGCGAGCGCTCACCTATATGCCAAACTCTCAAAATGCGAAATTCCACCAGGAAATGATATACTACTAGGCTACTACTTAGGCTATCGCATATCCCCACAGGGCATTGAAATGGACCCGGAGAAGGTCAAAGCAGTACTAAATTGGGCACCACCCCGCACAAGAAAGCAACTACAAAGTTTCCTGGGCTTTGCAAATTTTTACCGCCAATTCATCCCCTCATTTGCACAGATAGCCTTGCCCCTCACTAACTTACTAAAAACGAAGGGAACATCCTCAGTAAAACCTAGCCAGCCACTAACATGGACAATGGAGTGCCAAGCAGCGTTTGAGAGACTAAAGAGACTTTTTTCTGCCGAACCAGTACTAAGGCACCCAGACATGGACAAGCCCTTCGTAATACTGGCAGATGCAAGTGATGTGGCAGTGGGGGCTGTTCTATTACAAGAAAACGATGATGGAGTATTGCAACCCTGTGCATATACATCCAAGAAACTCACGGAAACAGAACAGCGCTGGCCCGTATGGGAGAAGGAGGCTTATGGGATACGTTGGGCATTACTCACGTGGCGACAGTTCCTGGAAGGCAACAAAATCCCCTTCCAGGTGTGGACTGATCACAAAAATTTAGAAGCCCTGAAAACTTCCAGGAAACTCAATCCCAAACAAGCCCGCTGGTCCCAGCATTTTCACCAATTCCAATTTAAGCTCAAACATTTACCAGGAAGAAAGAACTTCCTGGCAGATGCTCTATCTCGCATGCCCCAATATAACAGCGCACGAACCACAGACTCTAGACCAATAATGGCAGAGTCACAACTGGCAGCACCAGTAACCACAAGAACCCAAGCCAAATTAAAACCACAACTGGACATCCAAACTGGAATTGAATTCAGAAAAAGTTTGGAAACAGATGATTGGTTCCAGAAAAACAAAAATGTGTGCACAATGAAAGACGGGTTGCCTTGGATAGGGGAAAAGTTATATATACCAACAACTCAAAGAGTAACTTTCATGCACCTTTGCCATGACACAAAATCAGCAGGGCATTTTGGATTTGTAAAAACTTTACATTTAATTAAACGGCAATTTTGGTGGCCATCCATGAAAAAGGACATTGAAAGTTATATAGCCAGTTGTCCAAAATGTGCCACGGCAAAGAGGTTGCAAGGGAAAGTGCCAGGACTATTGCAAACAGTGGCAAGTCCCTCAGCCCCCTGGAGAGAAATAGCCATGGATTTTATAGTGGAATTGCCAGAAAGCAATGGGAATACTGTGGTCTGGACGGTCACGGACCTGTTTTCCAAACAGGTGCATTTTATCCCTTGCCAAAAGATTCCCACTGCAAAAGCCTTAGCAAAACTTTTCATCCAACACATTTACAGATTGCATGGGGCACCCCAACGCATCATCTCTGACAGGGGGGTGCAATTTACGTCTGCATTTTGGAAGGAATTTTTATCCCTCTTAGGAACCACTCAGGGACTGACATCTAGCCACCACCCTCAAGGAAATGGGGGGGCTGAAAAAATGAACTCCGTACTTAAGCAATATTTAAGATGTTTTCTTAGTTTCCAGCAGACCGAGTGGGCGGACTTACTCCCTTTTGCAGAAGTTGCCTACAATAATGCAGTCCACTCCAGCACAGGTTACACTCCTTTTCAAATAGCCACCGGTCAAAGTTTCAACCCCATGCCAGAATTAACCCCAAACGAACCAACGATCCCCTCGCTGAAAGAATGGATGGAGAAATTACAAAACACCTGGCCAATAGTCAGAAAAGCACTAGATGAAGCTAGGCAGGCATATAAAACACAAGCCGATAAAAAAAGGGTTGAGCCTACACCATTCATTATAGGAGAAATGGTGTACTTATCTACAAAATACCTAAAGTCCCTACAGCCCTGTAAAAAACTTGGACCAAAATATATAGGACCTTTTCCAATTAAAAGAATCATAAATCCAGTAACAGTAGAATTAGAATTACCCAAAAATCTCAGGCAAATACACCCAATTTTTCATTGCAGCTTGCTGAAAAGAGAGCATCAGTCACCTCTACGGCCAAAATTCCCCCCCCCACCACCTCCAATCATGGTGGAGGGTGAACAACACTTCGAAATAAAGGAAGTCCTTGACTCTAGGAGATATCATGGAGCAACTCAGTACCTAGTTGCCTGGAAACACCTCCCTCCCTCACAAAATGAGTGGGTCCATAAACGTCATGTCAGAGCCCCGAAGCTATTGAAGAAGTTTCACACAGAGTATCCTAACAAGCCTAACTAAATTTTATACTTGTGTTTTCTTTCAGGTGGATCTCTCTTATTTTTAAGAGGGGCCGGATGTCAGAATCCAATCATATTTCATCTTTAATTATCAAATATAGAAACTCCCAATTCTGCCTTCTTTGGATTCTGCCATAAGAGGGAGAGAAGGGGGAGAACAAAGGGGCTTTATGGCCCTCACTTCCTTCAGTACACTTCAAAGAGCTGAATGCTGAATGTGTGTTTATTGTAACATCAAAGCGTTAGCACTAGAGAACCTTATCATAACAAAGCAGGATACTTGCCTTTCATGTAGTTACCTGAAGTCTCCATTCAGACGGAAGAAAGAAGAAAGGGGGTGGAATTGTGATACTTGAAACTATCACTGGAAGGGGGGTTGATTGGGTGGGACTACTGGGGAACCCCTTAAAACCTTGAATGGAAGAGCTTGAACCCCAAGTCCTGTCTAGCATGCCTGCAACCATTTTCTCTTAATAAAGGATTCCTGTTGGAAGAATTATTCCAAGAGTTCTGTCTTCTTAAGATGCAAAGTGGGGTGGGTCCTCCGAGCTGTCATCTGAGGCATCCACTGGCCCTGTGGTGTAGGAGCCACAGGAGAAAGCTCAAAGAGCCACATGCAGCTCCGGAGCCACGGGTTGCCGACCTGTGACCTATATGAGTGAGAATCTCCATAAACATGGATGCAGTATTCCAAGTGTGGTCTAATAGTTAGGTGGTGTCACAGCTCTCCACGGCAATGACCTTTAAAAAAATCAAATCTCTGGCCCCTTTCCTCTTCTCCAACCCTTTTCTGTTGCTTCTGCAGGGAGAAAACGTCACCAACGCTCACGAGATGCAGCCCAACGCTGTGACGTGGGGGATCTTTCCGGGCAGAGAGATCATCCAGCCCACAGTGGTGGACCCAGTTAGTTTCATGTACTGGAAGGTAAACCTCCGTTTCGTTTTCCCCACCTGCATATCTCTGCTTAGCCTGTTTCTCACAGTCCAGGCCACGATCCAGCGGGAAGCTACCAACTAGAGTAGGGGTCCCCAACCTTTTGGGTGCCAGGGACCGGTTCCATGGAGAGAGGTTTTTCTGCAGATCGGAGGGGGCGTGGCTTTGTGTGCTGCCTGCAACCCGCGGATGGGGCTTTGCTTGTTTGTGCGGACCGGTTGCTGGCATGCCGCGGCCTGCTACTGGTCCACGGACTGGGGGTTGGGGACCCCTGAACTAGAGCAGGGGTATCAAACAGGCAACCCGCCGTCTGGATGCGTCGCGCTCAGACCACGCCCGGCTCCACGAAGGCAAAAAACGTCACGATACATCATGTGACGCGATTGGGTTTGACACCCCCATGGCCACAATTGAGCCCAGAAATTATGTTGCTAAGCGAGACATTTGCCAAAGGGAGTTTTGCCCCCGTTTTACGACATTTCTCGCCACGTTAAGTGAATCACCACAGTACTTAAACTAGTAACCTGGCTTCCTCATTGACTTTGATTGTCAGGAGGTCTCAAAAGGGGGGGGGTGTCACGTGACCTCCCACCCCCCGGGACACTGCGACCGTCAATAATTGTGAGTCTGTTGTCAAGCGTCTGAATGTTGATCACTTGACCAGTGGGATACTAGAGTGGCCGTCAAGTGTGAAAAATGATCATAAGTCACTTTTATTCACTGCCATTGTAACTTAGAACGGTCACTAAACGAACTCTTTTAACTTAAGGAATACCTGCACTCTTCTTGGAAAGAAAATAATCAGCAAGGCTTATTTTTCCAACGCTCCCCCAGATGAACACATTTATGAGTTAATCTCTGGTTTGATCCTCATTAATAGTGCAAACGTCTGGAGACGTTTAATTTTGAAAAATGTATACAGGTGGTCCTTGACTTACGGCCACAACGGAGCCCCAAATTTCTGTCGCTAAGTGAGACGGTTGTTCAGTGAACTCTGCCCCATTTTACGACCTTTCTTGCCCCAGTTAAGTGAATCACTGCAATTGATCAGTTAGTAACTTGGTTGTTAAGTGAATCCGGCTTCCCCCCCCATGGACTTTGCTTGTCAGGTCGCAAAAGGGGATCCCGTGACCCCCGGCAACCGTCATAAACGTGAAGCAGTTGCCAAGCATCCGAATTTTGATCACGCGACCAACAGTCGTACGTGTGGAAAACGGTCGTTAAGTCACTTTCTTCAGCGCCGTCGTAACTTTGAACAGTCACTAAACAAACTGTGGTTTACATTTAAACATTTACATTTAAACCTTTCGGTTTCTTCCCACGTAATTCCCGTCTCCTTCGGACCTTGGAAAGCTGTTTAGACTCGGTTCTCCCTCCTAAAGGACCCTGAAGTTTGCAATTTCTACTTTGCGACTTGCTTAACGGGATTGCAAACTGCAGCCTTGCAGAACTCCGGATCTGGGATCTTGCAGTAACTTCAGACAGTTTTCCTGGAGGGAGGGGTGGGTGAAAGCTATAGGTCAGTGGTTCTCAACCTGTGGGTCGGGACCCCATTTGGGGTTGAACGACCATTTCACAGGGGTCGCCAAACAAGGCTGTCCAACATTTTTTCCCCCTTTTCTTTGGCCACGCCCCTGGCACCCGGTGATGTATAAGTGGTTGGGGGTCACCACAACATGGGGAACTGTATTATGGGGTCGCAGCATTAGAAAGGTTGAGAACCACTGCTATAGGTAGTCCTCGGTTTACAACAGTTCATTTAATGACCATTCGAAGTTACAGCAGCGCTAAAAAAAGGTGACTTGTGACCGATTAGATTTTTAGATTAAATAACCTTTATTGTCATTTTTTCCTGCGGGCACAACGGCACACGTTAAAAATGAAATTTAGTTGCTTGCTCTCAAGGTGTACACATACATAACACACATTTAAACATACTATGTACAACATATGTATAGGCCTACACCCTTGCATAAAAGCAACATATAAATATTAGTCACTGTCCATCTTGAATACGTAATGGAAGGAGGAAACCTGAGAGTTCACAAGGTTGATGCTACATGGAAAAAAACTGCGACTGAATCTGGATGTTCTGCTCCGGGTACCACGAAGCCCCCCACCTCCCAGAAGGTAACAAGAAAAACAGGTGGTGAACAGGGTGTGTAGTGTCCCAGACAATTCTGTGGACCCTGCTCAAGCAATGCTTCTGTGCTACGTCCTGGATGCAAGAACTACCAATGATCTTTTCTGCTGTCCTCATCACTCTCTGCTCCACTTTCCTGTCTGAAGCAGAGATGCTTCCACACCAGACTGTGATGCTGCATGACGGGATGATCTCGGTCGGTCGTCCCTCTGTAGAAAGCGGTGAGGACAGGGGAAGGAGGATGTGCTTTTCTCATGCGATGCAGACCGTTTTTCACACTTAACGACCGTTACAGCATCCCCGTGGTCACATGATTCAAAATTTGGACGCTTGGTCACTGGTTCATATTTATGATGGTCGCAGCGTCTCCCGGGGTGTGTGTGTCACGTGATCCCCTTTGGCGGCCTTCCGACCAGCGAAGTCAATGTGGGGGGAAGCCGGATTCACTTCACAACCATGTGTGACTAGCTTAACAACTGCAACTGCGGCAGGAATGATTGTAAAATAGGGCAAAACTCACTTAGCAACATAAAACTTTGGGCTCAATTTTGGTCGTAAGCCGAGGACTACCTGTATTTTTAAATTTGTCTCTCCTCCCCCCGCTCCCCCTTCCCTTAACAAATGCGGCAAGGAAAGTTGTAAAATGGGGGCAAACTCACTGAACAAACTTTTCATTTTGCAACATAAATTTGAGGCTCAGTTGCTGTTGTAGGTTTGAGGACTCCCTGTATTCATTTGGGAAACAGCTCCTAGGCTGAATCCTGTGTTCAAGTCTTGCCATCTTCTGCTGCCTCAGACCTCTTTAAAATGTGCAACCCTAATGATATAGGACAGGGGTCCCCAACCCCTGGTCTATGGACCAGTACCGGTCAGTCCGTGGCATGCCAGCAACTGGCAAACAAAGCCCCATCCGTGGGATGCAGGCAGCACATGAAACCACACACTCTCCGATCCGTGGAAAAACCTTTCACCATGGAACTGGTCCCTGGTGCCCAAAAGGTTGGGGGCCTCTGGTATAGGAGGTTCTCCTGCTTGAGCAGGGGCTGGACTAGAAGACCTCCAAGGTCCCTTCCAGATTCTATTCTGTTCTGTTCTATAATCTATATTCTATATTCTCTTCTCTTCTATGTTCTCTTCACTTCTATTCTATTCTACAATCTTTCTATTCTATTCTATTTTCTATTCTATTCTAATTCTATATTCTCTTCTTTTCTATTTTCTATATTCTTTTCTTCTATTTTCTATATTCTATTCTTTATTCTCTTCAATATTCTCTTCTCTATTTTCTATATTCTATATTCTATACAATATTCTATATTCTATATTCTATACAATCTTTCTAATTCTCTTCTATATTCTCTTCTATTCGATTCTCTTCTCAATTCCCTTCTATATTCTATTCTTATTCTTATTCTAACCCGTCTGTCTCCCCCCCCCCCGGCAGGACGAGGCCTTTGCCTTGTGGATCGAGCAGTGGGCGAAGCTGTACGAAGAAGAATCACCTTCTCGCATGATCATCCAGTACATTCACGACAACTATTACCTGGTCAACCTGGTGGACAACGACTTCCCCATAGAGAGTTGCCTCTGGCAGGTTTTGGAGGACACCTACAAACAGTTGAACAGTCCAGGAGAGGAGCAGAGGACCTCCGGGCTTTGAAACGGGGCTCCACAGCTCTCAACTCCATCTCAACTCATGGCAGCTAAGAAACCCAGGAGAATCCTCCTGCTGGCTTTCCCACTTAAAAAAAAACAAAACACTTTGTGATGACCGGTGCTCTAAACCGGTGGCCCCCAGTTTTTGTAGCTTGGCGGCCCGGCCTGGCCATGTGTGTGTGTGTGTGTGCGAGTGCAAGTGGCAGGCACACGCATGCAGCTCCATTTGTGCGAGCGGTGCGTGCGTGCGCCCTCATGCAAATGGAGCTTCGTGCACGAGTTTGGGTGGGGGGTGCTTGTGCTGGTGTGCAAAGCTCCCTTCACACAAATGGAGCTTTGCACGCGAGGGTTAGTGCCCTCCGCTCGTGGGAGCGGAGCTTCGTGTGCGTTTGTGTGCGCTTCCCTGTCGCTTTGCAAATGGAGCTTCACACGGCCCGGCTTTGAACAAAACTGAGGGCCGGTAGTGGGCCACATGGCCCCAGGGATTGGGGACCCTGGTCTAAACTTCCTGAAGAGCAGCACGGCCAACTTGGCTGAGACTTGCAAGCCGCCCCCTTTTCTAGTTCACCCCCTTCCCACACCCCACCCCTATTTATTTTGATTGTTGTAAGAGGCAGACCCCGAGAACTCCCTCCCACCTTTTGTTTCAGGGGAATGGCAGTCAGTGGAACCTTTGTAAAGGAAGGAAAAATGGAATAAAATGACTTTTAACACAGGACGTCCCCAGGCGTGGCATCACAAGAACGGCCTCGTCCGAAGGTGGTGGCGCTTTGGGGTCTCCAGTGCCAAGGAGAAAATTGCCCCCCCACCTACCCAGCAGAAAGGGCTCCATGCCCACCCTCTCCAGCCCTTGCATTTGCAAACAGCCCGGGTTCAAATCCTCCGCCTCAAAGTGGGCGTTGAGGTTTTTTCTCTGCCCCGGAGGGTTCACTCCCAGCCTGCAAGACGATGCCCTCAGAAGCAAGGGAACGATGAGAGTTGTGATCCTACCCCCCTTTCTCATCCTGTGTTTTTAACCTGTTTCTGTAAAATTAGGCGTTTCTGTTCTTCCTCCAGGCGGGAAGAATTGAGCAGCTTTGAAAAGAAAGATTCGTATAGCTCAGGCGTAGGCAACCTCGGCTCTTTTATGACTGGTGGACTTCAACTCCCAGAATTCCTGAGCCAGCCATGCTGAGGGGAAAGGGAGAGGTTTCCAAGCTGAGCCATGCTGACTCAGGAATTCTGGGAGTTGAAGTCCACGAGTCATAAAGTGGCCTAGGCCTAGGCCAGAGGTAGGCAACCTCGGCTCTTTTATGACTCGTGGACTTCAACTCCCAGAATTCCTGAGCCACCATGCTGAGGGGAAAGGGAGAGGTTTCCAAACTGAGTCAGGCTGGCTCAGGAATTCTGGGAGTTGAAGTCCACGAGTCTTAAAAGAGCCAAGGTTGCCTACCCCTGGTATAGCTAGTCCTCAACGTACAACAGTGATCGTTTAAAGTCACAACAGCACTGAACAAAGTGACTTATGACCATTCTTCACAGTTACGACCTTTGCAGCACTCCCAGTGGCCACATGATTAAAATTTGGATGCTTGGCAGCTATGTCGTGTATATGACGGTTGCAGTATCCCAGGATCCCCTTTTGCGACCAGACAAGCAAACTCAATGGGAGAAGCCAGATTCACTTAACAACCGGGTGACTAGCTTAACAACTGCAGGGAGACATGATGTCAAATGTTAAAAAAAAAAAAACTCCCTTAACAAATGTCTCACTTAGCAACAGAAAATTTGGGCTCCAGTTGAGGACTAGTATCTCAGAAGCAGGAAATGATCCGATGGCAGTTTGTCAACTGCAGGGTCCCAGATTGGGGGGTTCAGTGATCCCCTTTGGTGACCTGGCAAACAAAGTCAATGAGGGAAGCTGGAGTCACTTAACAGCCGTGATATTGACTTAACAGCTGCAGTGATTTCCTTAACTGTGGCCAGAAAAGTCATTAAATGGGGCAAAACGCAACCTAGCCACCGTCTCCCTTAGCAGCAGAAATGTCGAGCCACTAAGGCAAACCTGGGTGGTTTCCAGGTGCAACCCAACTGTGCAAGGCCCAGCCTGTTTCCAGGCCTCAAACCGGTTGCCAAAGGGAATGCAGCCCACATTTAAACCACAGTTTGCAAAGGATTCCCCCCACGCCTCTTCCCGGCCTTCAAACTCTTTATCAATTTGTACTTTTTCACTCTTGTGTGTTTTCTTAGCACCTTCCACACTGTTCCCCTTCCAGAGGGCTGCTGACCCCTGGTGAAGCTTTTCTTTCATAAGGGGATCCTCCTTTTGCGTAAACAAAAGCGAAGATTCTCAGCCCGTTGCTGATCTCCCCTATCTGCATCTGGCATCATTGTGGACACCAGAGCCTGATTTCGTGGTTAGGGCACAGGGCTAGAAAGCGGGAAGGTGTGCATCCTAGTCCTGCCGTAGCCATGAAACTTGGCTGGGTGACTGGGCCAATCACCAGGAGACGGTGAGTTCTAGTCCCGCCTTAGCCATGAAAGCCGGCTGGGTGACTTTGGGCCAATCACCAGGAGATGGTGAGTTCTAGTCCCGCCTTAGCCATGAAAGCCGGCTGGGTGACTGGGCCAATCACCAGGAGACGGTGAGTTCTAGTCCCGCCTTAGCCATGAAAGCCGGCTGGGTGACTGGGCCAATCATCAGGAGAGGGTGAGTTCTAGTCCCACCTTAGCCATGAAAGCCGGCTGGGTGACTGGGCCAATCATCAGGAGAGGGTGAGTTCTAGTCCCGCCTTAGCCATGAAAGCCGGCTGGGTGACTGGGCCAATCACCAGGAGACGGTGAGTTCTAGTCCCGCCTTAGCCATGAAAGCCGGCTGGGTGACTGGGCCAATCATCAGGAGAGGGTGAGTTCTAGTCCCGCCTTAGCCATGAAAGCCAGCTGGATGATGTTGACGTTGGGCCAATCATCAGGAGAGGGTAAGTTCTAGTCCCGCCTTAGCCATGAAAGCCAGCTGGGTGACTTTGGGCCAATCACCAGGAGACGGTGAGTTTTAGTCCTGCCTTAGCCATGAAAGCCAGCTGGATGATGTTGACGTTGGGCCAATCACCAGGAGACAGTAAGTTCTAGTACTATTTTAAGTATGAAAGCCAGCGAGGTGACTTTGGGTCAGCCCCCCCCCCCTCTGCCCAACCCACCTCACAGGGTTGCTGTTCTGAGGAAAAAAAGAGGAAGGTGTGTGGGGTACATTTGCCCCCTGAAGTTATTTGTAAAAATAATAAAAGGCAGGACACAAATAAAAAATAAAACTGTCGCCTCCGTTCAGCCCAAACTGAGACGAGCATCCCTGCCTGTCCATCTCTCTCTCCCCAAAGGTCCAGAAGGAAACAGCTGGGGGGAACTTTCCTGCCTGAGCAGGGGGTTGAACTAGATGACCTCCAAGCTCCCTTCCAACTTTATTACTAACCCGAGATGAACAGGGAAAAGTCCCTTGTGAGGGATGTTTCTGAGGGGGGGGAGGGCAGATGGTTTCCCCCCCACCAGATTTGTTTCTTGCTGCTTTAACGAGCAAACACAGGCAGACTTACAACCTCAATGGAGCCCCAAATTTTGGTTGTTAAATGGAACATTTGTTAAGTGGACTTCACCCCATTTCATGACCTTCCTTGCCTCAGTTGTTAAGTGAATCCCTGCAGCTGTTAAGCAAATCTGGACTTTGCTTGTCAGGTCGCCAAAGGGGATCACGTGGCCCCCCGACGCTGCGACCGTCATAAATACGAGTCAGTTGCCCAGCATCTGAATCTTGATGACCCTGAGGTTCCTACGACGGTCGTTCAGTGTGAAAAACAGTCCAAATCATTTTGTCAGTGCCGGTCACTAAACGAACCGTTGTAAGTCGAGGACTATCGGGGCAAGACTGCTTGCTCCGTTGCTGAACCCATCCTGACTTATCCTAAGGAGGGGGGGGGGTCTGCCTCACACAAAGGGACTTTCCTGAATTTCAGAGGGGCCTTGACAAATAGGGGCCACCCGTCGCAAAGCAGCAAAGGAGGAACTTGAATTTTAATGATTGTCTCAGAATAAACCAGCTTGGTTGATCCTCGGCGTGGCTCAATTTTTACACCGTCTTCCCCCCCCCTCGCCAGTCCAAAATGTGCAAATATAAGTTTGTAGTGCAAAGCCCGGTTCTTTGTGAGGTTGCTGTGTGTGTCCCTTGTGCCACCGTCCTGCAGTCTGTCCATCCTGCAGCCGGTTACAAAAAAGATCCAGCCAGATGTTCATTCAATCCGGACACGAGAGACGGCCGCCAGACGACGCCACTTCCCGAAAGCCTGCAAAGAGATGGCCCAGGGTAGACTGTTTATAGAATAACAAGAGTTGGAAGGGATCTTGGAGGTCATCTAGTCCAACCCCCCCAACCAAGCAAGAGACCCGACACCGTTTCTGACAGAGGGCAGTCCAGTCTCTTCTTGAAAGCCTCCAGCGATGAAGCTCCCACAACATCTGGAGGCAACTTCTGTTCCATTGGTTGATTGTTCCCACCGTCAAATATTCTCCTTATTTCTAGGCTGAATCTCTCCTTGATCCGTTTCCATCCATTGTTCCATGTCTGGCCTTTGGGTGCTTTGGAAAGTAGGTTGACCCCCTCCTCTCTGTGAGACCCCCCTCAAATATTGGAAGGCTGCTGTCATGTCTGCCCTGGTCCTTCTCTTCACTGGACCAGCCATGCCCAGGTCCTGCAGCCGTTCTTCCTGTGTTTTAGCCCCCAGTCCCCTGATCCTCTTGGCTGCTCTCCTCTTTCCATTTTTCTAGAGTCTCAACATCTTTTTTATAGCACGTAGACCAAAATTGGTTGCAGGTGTGGTCTTACTAGGGCTTTATAGAGGGGTACTAGTAGCTCAAGCAATCTTGATTGGATCCCTCTGTTAATGCAACTTGGGATTGCATTCATTGGCTTTTTTGGCTGCTGCCGCACACAGTTGGCTCATCTTTAACTGATTGTCCACTAAGACTCCAAGACCCTCAGCACCACCCAACCCCAGAGTGAGGGGATGGGGAAGGGGTTGCTAATCCCCCCCGTACCCAAAATGCATCCTTCTTACTATTTTGAGCAATTGTTCCTCTTCGGCTTCGCGGAAACGCTGGGCCACCTGAAGCTGTAACCAGCACCGTCTCCATATTTTCCAGCCCCACTGAGCCCGTCTCTGCCATACCTGCGGGAGGAGGCAGGACACCGATAAAGAGCCCCCAACCCTGGTTAAAATCCTCCCCAAATCTGGCCCGGAGTAGCCAAGATGGGGGATTTTAGCAGCTCTCACATTTGCAGAAGACCCACACTTGAGAAAGGAAGGACAAGCATGCTTATTCAGCATCCTTCTGTAGGAGTCTGTCCCTCTGAGTCTTTAACTTTTAGCAACTTTGAGATGTGTGGACTTCAACACCCAGAATCCCCCAGCCTGCAGCTCTATGGAGATGTTCAGTCATCCAGGTCATTCTTGTCCCAAGGGTGCTTTTCCCAAGACGCAACTGGACTTTCTTGTTTTTCTTTGAAGACGTTTCGCTTCTCACCCAAGAAGCTTCTTCAGCTCTGACTGGTAGTGGGGAATGGAAGGATTTATACTCCTTGCAGACAGCTGGTCATTTGCATCCTTTTTAAAGAGTCACTTGGAGGTTTTATCTGTATCCTCAGGGTCACCTAAGTGGTGCAAATGGGTGTGGAGCCTTCTTGGAGCTGCTGAAAGGACGGTGTAGTAGATTGGAATGAAGGGCATTTTGACATAGTTGCCCTCTTGGATCCCTCTTTCAACCCAGCGGTCCTCTCTGTCCAAAATGTGGACTTTGGTATATGGCATAATATTGGAGAACAAACCGATCAGGACAAGATTCAGAAGTCCATCTGCATTTGAAAAGACGAAGGCCCCTCTTTCGAAGACAGCAAAATCCACATTTTGGACAGAGAGGACCCCTGGTTTGAAAGAGCGGTCAAAGAGGGCACAGGTAATCCTCCAGTTGGCCTCAAGGACCCTCTAAAAGGATGCAAAGGACCAGCGGTCTGCAAGGAGTAGCAATCCTTCCACTCCCCACTATCCGGTCAGAACTGAAGAAGCTTCTGGGATGAGAAGCAAAACATCTTCAAAGAAAAACAAAAAAAGTCCAGTGGCCTCGTGAAAAAGCACCTTCAGGACCCCAGCCTCCATGCCAACCCAGAAACGGGGTCTGCTCTCTAGCACGGGGGCAACTATCTGAACCACCCTTCCATCATGCTGCAAATAAGGCATCTCCTTTCCCCATTGCTTAATATGGACTAGAAACGTAAGGGCAGTTTAAAGCAAGGGCCCAGATTCCCGCAGCTGTACAAGCTGTGGAAGTTACTCACCAACGTTTGCACCACCAGCTCGGTACGGCAGGCGTCTTTCCAACGCAGCCAGGCCTTCGCCAGTTGACGGGCGTCCCGCCTAGCCCAGAAGTGATGCAGCTGGACTTTGTGTTTCCACAGCCTTCCATATTTGCTCCTGGGGGGGGGGCGCAAGGGGCAGAAGAGTTAGCCCCACAAGGAGGCGCATAACTCCTTGACCCAGGGTTTAAATATGCACATCATCTGCAGACACCTGGATATAATTTTGCTGGTGGTGCTCCTACCCATCCCAGGAAATTCCTTCATCTGTTGTTTTCATTTGTCACCCCTCAGGTTTCTAGCTCTCAAGAACCAAAAACGGGCAGTCAAAATTAACTGAGTTTGCTTTGGAAAAGCTTTGAGTCCCCAAGCAGACAAGTGGTCATTTTTCACACTTGCAACCATCGCATCGTGGGTCACCTGATTGGAATTCGGACACTTGGCAAACTGGTTCCTGTTTATGATGGGCGCAGTGTCCCCGGGATCATGTGACTCCCTTTGGCGACCTTCTGTCAAGCCGAGCCAATGGGGGGAGCCAGGTTCCCTTAACAAACACGTTGCTAACTCAACTGCAGGGATCCGCTTACCGACCGTGGCAAGGAAGGTTGTAAAACAGGGCAAAACAACTGTCTCGTTTAGCCAGAGAAACTTTGGGCTCGATCATAGTCGTAAGCCGAGGACTGCGGTTTAGGAAGAGCTAATCACATCCGGCCCTCTCAATTCCTGGCAAATAGATGGGGAAGAAATGGAGGTAGTGACAGATTTTATTTTTCTGGGCTCCAAGATCACCTCAGATGGGGACTGCAGCCAAGAAATTAAAAGACGCTTGCTCCTGGGGAGGAAAGCTATGGCAAATCTAGACAGCATCCTAAAAAGCAGAGGCATCACCCTGCCAACAAAAGTGCGTATAGTCCAGGCCAGTGGTTCTCAACCTTTTTAATGCCGCGACCCCCAACTGGTCGTAAGTCGAGGACTACTCAACCAGTCGTAAGTCGAGGACTACTCAACTGGTGCAGCACCGTTTGCAGAATGGGACTTTTGGCGGGCTCAGCAGGGCAGAGACAGCCTGGACAATTCCTATGGGCTTTGGAAAGCCAATAGAATTAGACTCTATTCAAGAGAGTCTATTCTATTGGCTTTCAAAAGCCAGTAGAATAAAAGGGAGGAGCACAGCTAAGGAAAAGGGGGGGGGGAATGGCAGACTACGTTGTTTGGCGACCCCCATGAAATGGTCGTTCGACCCCAAATGGCGTCCCGACCCACAGGTTGAGAACCACTGGTCAAGGCCATGGTTTTCCCAGTTGCAATGTGTGGCTGTGAAAGTTGGACCATAGGAAAGGCCGAGCGCCAAAGAATGGAGGCCTTTGAACTCTGGGGCTGGAGAAGACTCCTACGAGTCCCCCGGACTGCAAGGCGATCCAACCGGTCAGTCCTAGAAGAGATCAACCCCGACTGCTCTTTAGAAGGCCAGATCCTGAAGTTGAAACTCAAATACTTTGGCCACCTAATGAGAAGGAAGGACTCACTGGAGAAGAGCCTAATGTTGGGAAAGATGGAGGGCAAGAGAAGAAGGGGACGACAGAGAATGAGATGGCTGGATGGAGTCACTGAAGCAGGAGGTGTGAATTTGAATGGACTCCAGAAGATGGTAGAGGACAGGAAGACCTGGAGGAACGTTGTCCATAGGGTTGTGATGGGTGGGACACGACTTCGCAACTAACAACAATCGCTGCTGAATCTTTCATGCTGGGAAACTCCCGAGTGGGGAAACCGGAAAGCTTACGCTGCCTGCCAATTAAGCCGAAGAGAAGAATCCTGATCCGCGATATGGGGAGGATTTTCACAGTCAAAACTGCATCTTGGGCAGCGAGAGGCGGGAGCAGGAAGGCCGCTGGGCTCTCCGACAGTCCCCAAGGAGGACAGGACGATGAGGCTGGGCTCTCCCAGTTGAACCACCTGCCCCCAGTAAAGAAAGAACACACCCTTAATCCAGGAGGCCGACCTTTGCAAGGCTAATGAAAATTGTTCTTCTTTTATTTGCCAAATTTGGGCTTGACGAGCTGGAGGGGAACGCTGCAAGTTTGCCAAGGACGCCACACGCAACACAAACCTGACTGGCGCTGGGCAAGGCAGAGGAGGGAGATTCTTGTAAATCCGCCGACACAAGGAGAGAGCCCTCAGTGAGCCCAAGAGGACTCAGAACCCGGGTCCTCCGGCGCCATCGTGCAAGAGCCTCCCGTAGCTGCCGCAGAGTCGAATCTCGATAGAAAGCCCTGTGGGGTGAAAGAGACGGCAAGCGTCCATGAGGACTAGAAACCTGCCTTTCAGAGAAGAGCGAAGGGCATACATTTGGGGAACTGAAAACCAGCCACTTACCCAGCCCAGCGCGCTTCCTGGCATCTCGCCTTCCAAGTCAGAAATGCTTCCTGCAACATCCTCAAGTGGAAAAGAGAGTCTAAGGCGTTTTCCGCATACTTTGGGGGCCACTTCCTTCTGTCGGGGTCCCCCCGGGGCCCTGGAGCATTTGGAGACAAAGAGCCTGGTCGTGCTTCTTCCGTGGGTCACCCCAGGAAAGGGCGAAGAGCAGGGCAAAGGCTCGCCCCAAAAGGAGCACCAAGCGGTTACCATGATTACCCTTATTTACTTACCGCCGGAGCCTGGCCCCTTGGCCCACAGCAGCTCAATCACCGCCCGCTTGGCGCTTCTCCTGGCTTGCACCGTTAGGCACCACTGCCGGAAAGACACCCTCAAGGATTGGGCCCACAGATGCTCCACGGCTGCCTTGCTGTCCCGTTTCCACTGGGCCAAACTCTGCCAGGCTTTGAAGCATCTTGAAAGACCAAAGACAGCAGAAAGATCAATCAACCAGCATAGGAAGGGACCTTGGAGGTCTTCTAGTCCAGCCCCCTGCTCAAGCAGGAGAGCCTCTATCGTCTCAGATAAGTAATCGTCCAGTGACGCCAACTTCTGGTGGCAAGCTGTTCCACTGGTTAACTGTCTTCAGTGTTAGGAAATTTCTCTTTAATTCTAAGCTGCTTCTCTCCTTGATTAGTTTCCATCCAAGAATCAAAAATAGGCAAAGAAAGGACCAATCCGTCAGTCAGGATTTCTTTTTGGGGGGACAGAAAAAGGAAGGAATGTCTGGATAGCACCCCATGTTTACCCTCAGGTTTAGCAAACCACCATTCTTATTCATTATTTGCTTATTAAATTTATATCCCGCTCATTTTTACAGTCCAGGGCAACTCTAGCCGGCTCACCATGCAATAAAAATAAGAAATATAAAAAAATTCTGAAGATAACAACACTTAAAAGTTACAAAACTGTTTTGCACTGTTGCCACCAAGCCAGGTTCTCCATTCCGTTAAGCCATCCTAGTTTGTTAGGCTTAACCTAGAATAGCCAGCCAGTGGCTCAGGCCAACAAACCACAGTTAAAAAGATCAGCAGCAGAACTGGAGACGGGTTGAAATGCTGGTTAAAGGGGAACGTGAGAAGCGATGGGACAATAACCAGGTTTAGTAAAAGAGGAGAAACACCATCAAAGACAGGCAGTCCTCAACCTACGACCACAATTGAGTCCCAAATTCCTGTTGTTAAGCGAAACATTTGTTAGGCGAGTTTTGCCCCATTTTACAACTTTTTGGGCCACAGCTGTTAAACGAATCCCTGAAGTTCGTAAGTTAGTAACGGCCGTTAAGCGGATCTGGCTTCCCCCATTGACCCTGCTTGTCGGAAGGTCGCTGCGACCGTCCTAAATACGAGTCAGTCGCCCAGGGTCCAAATTTTGATCACGTGACCCTGGGGACGTGGCAAATGGTCGTAGGCGTGAAAAACGTCCGTGAGTCACTTTTTTCAACCCTGTTGTAAGTTCGAACGGTCGTCACTAAATGAACTGTCGTAAGTCGAGGACTACCTGTATTACGACGACAGCTACTCACCGCCTGATCAGCCCACTCTGGATTCGAAACGCCAGCAGACGAACCTGCTGCTTTTTCCCGCAGTGGGAACGCCATCTGTTGAAAGCACCACCCAATTTCTTATTTTCCAGAAGGACAAAATATTCTCGGAGGAGACCCCCATCTTTCCGAAGGTGCGGTGGCCAGACAGGCTGGAAACCTTTTCTGGGACCCTTCCAGATGGTTTCCTCAAAGAGGTGGACCTTCTGATGGGTTGACAACAGACCGGCCTCCTCAACGGAGGAGGGGGTGATGGGGTCTTCGCCAGCTTCTCCATACTTATCTCCAGCTTCGTGCGTGGGAAGATCTCCAACGTTCTTCCCAAAGAGGTGACCTAACAGGATCTCTGGGGCTCCAGAAGGATCAAGAGTTGGTGGCTTCTCTCCGCGGGTGTCCTCCATGGACAACCTTCGGTTTGGAGAAGACTCTGCACGCAAGGTCTTGAGGGAACTCTCCAAACTCCTGAGGGAGAAGACATCCAGGGGAAGGTTCTTGAGATACAACTCAGAGCCACAGAAGGTTCCAGAATGACGTCCTTCTGGGTCAAGGGTCCTCAGGTCACCCTGGTCCCTCAACTCATTCAAGCTGGCCTTTTTGTTTGTACCCTGTGGTGTTCCTGAGCTGCTCCTGGAGCAGTCTCCCTGACAGGTCAACAAGGTGGCACTAAGCATAGTCCGCCATTTACTTCTCACTTCCACCGAAGCCTGGATCTTTCTCACAGCCAAGGTGGAGATCTGTGGCCCGCCTGCTGGTTGAGGAAGCCAGGAAGGTAGCCGGGATTCACAAGAGAAGGAAGACCTTTCCTTCTTAAGCCCACGGAGGGACCGGCACTGATCAGCAGAGCTTTGAGAAGACCTTAGGGGGGCCTGAGCTCCCTCAGGAGAAGAATGACCATCAACCAAAGCAGAAGACTTCAGACTGTCCAAAGTCAGGGGCGGTCCTGGCGGTGAGGAGTCACCAATCCCACTGAAGGTCATCGAAAGAGGACAACGCTCTGGTGAGGAACGAAGAGATGGATGCCCTGAAAACCGGATGGGTGAGGAGGACTCTCCACGGGCCTTGAGGTCCTCATGGCTTCTTCTTGACCCAGCAAAAAGCTCGTGTGGCCGTTTCAGCAAATATCCTTCTCTATGTTTTATTTGGGATGGATTCCTGGGAACGTCACGGGGTCTCTCCGGGAAGGCCCTCGGAGGGGTCTCCTTTAAGTTCCCACCTTCCCATCTTCTCCTGTGTAGGCTGGACTCAAGGTTGTTTTGCTGACGGACCAAGGAGGCTTTGGGGAGACCCCAGGGAGGGCAAGAGAGATTGGTCTGACACGGGCCGGGGGTCTCTCTCCTTCCATATGTGACCCGTAAACCTTTTTGAATGTTTTCTCCAAGATGATTTGAGCCACGGATGCTGGCACCGGACCGGGCCCAGAGTTCTCCAAGATGGCTTCCCGAGGACAGGAAGAGATCAACGTTGACGTTTTTCTGGATATTTCTCGGCTCTGGAGAGGTGAAAAATAGAAGTGAAGGAGTCAAGGAGATGGACCTCATTGTTTCTTCCTTCCCCAAGACTCTCCATGAATACGTGACCCCCCCCTCAAAAGTCAGGCTGGAACGTCTGAAAGGAGTCCTCAATTTACGACCGCAACGGAGCCCCACATTTCTGCTGAGGAAAACACGTGTTGAGCGAGTTTTGCCCCATTTCACGACTTTTCTTGCCACGGTTAAGGGAACCCCCTGCGGTTGTGAAGTTAGTCACACGGTCGTTAAGTGAATCGGGCTTCCCCCATCAACTTTGCTTGTCAGAAGGTCGCCAGAGGGGGGAATCACATGACCCCCCCCGGGGACGCTGCGACCATCATAAATGTGAATCAGTCGCCAAGCGCCTGAATTGTGATCACGTGACCTTGGTGGATGCCGCAACAGTCGTTAAGTGTGAAAAACGGTCCTAAAGTCACTTTTCTCAGTGCCGTTGTGACTTCAGATGGCCGCTAAATGAAACGTCGTAAGTCGAGGACTACCTGGTGACTGTAAAAACCTGTTTTAGAGAAGGGTTTGGCATGTTTATCCAGCTCTCATGTTCTTCCCAAGGACCCAGGATAGGCATGATTAGTTCATCCCGGCACTGCATTTCTGACAGAGCCTCCATGTTCAGAGGCAGTCTACCTCAAACTCCCATAAGTTGCCTCTCAGCAAGAAAAGAAAGCTGGTTCCAAGACGGGTGTCATGCCTCCGTGTCAGAATCCAATTATATTTCATTTCTAGTGATCTACTATGGAAAAAACCCATTTCTGCTCTCTCTGGATTCTGCCATACTACGAAGGGGGAGGGGGATGAGCAGGGGGGTTTGATGGCTCTCACTTCCTTCCTTAAACTTCAAAAGGACTGGATGTGGATTCTCACCAAGAGGACTGACCACAACAATATGGCCATCGCCTTTCATCTACTCCTCTCTGAAGTCTCCCTTTTGCCGGCAGTGAGGGAAAAGGGAGGGAATTGTCGCCCGGAAGAACTGTTGGGTGGGGGCTGCTTGGGAACACTTAAAACATTGAAGGATGGGAGAGAATTCCTCTGATCCTGCCTAGAACGCCTGCAACCATCTTCTCTTAATAAAGGATGCCTGTTGGAAGAGATATTCCAAGAGTTCTGTCTTCTTAAGATGCAACCTGGGGTGGTCCTTACACTCCGTCTGAGCCTGAATCGGAGGAGGAAATGGAGCCGGAACAGGACCCTGTGGAGGCCCAGGGAGAGGGGTCTGTGGCTTCGGAGGACTGTGGGGAGGAGCAGGCTGGGGCCGGCCAGGGCCCTTCAGGTATGGAACAGGGGAGGCAGAGTTCAGGTGAGGAGCAAGTCCTCCCCCCACCTGATCCTAGAGCTAGGAGGGTGGAGAGGAGGAGGGAACAAGGCAGGCAGGCTCACTTACTCCGGAGGAGAGCACCCCGCCCCACCCCACAAGGCACACCTGGGGATGGAGATATAAGGAGATACAAGGAGATCAGTTGTGTATTGTTGCTCTTGTTCTGTGCCTTTGTTGGAAAACCTGGCCACCTTGACTACCAGACCAGCTGACCACATGGATTTCCTGAATTACGACCTCAGACTGCATTTTGACTTCTCTCTTTGCAAGCTGAGATTCAAACGGATTCATTAAGTCAATATTTGGTTTGTTATCTTTATGGCCTCGAGGACATTCGTGTACTAATCAGGCTGTATTGAAACTGCCTCCAGCCAGAGTTGGCTGGAAGGTAGGTGTGTGTGTGTGTGTGTGTGTGTGTGTGTTTGGGTTGGAGGCTTGCCAGCAAATGGGGGAGCATTTGGAGGAAATTTGCAGCCGTTAAAGAACTGTTTACCTTGCCAGCTGACTGCATTGCCTTTGTGCTGTGCCCTGGGTCATCACAACCAACAAGGCAGAAAACCTTCAAAAGTCTTTGAAGGCAGCCTATACATTATATTTCCCAATCGCCTTTTCCCCCTCTTTCCAAATTCTCCCCAGGGCTTACCTTTTGGGGCCACACAGCAACTTAAAGCCGGGGGTATGTTTTCTTTCCTTGCAGCTGTCTGGATCCTTTGGGGCCATTCCATCTCCGGGTTAGAAGCGTTGCCTGAATCGCAGGCGGCCCAACCTTGCAGGATTGTTGGGCTGCAATGAGGTTTTGGACTGGTGGGATGTCAGGAAGGTGGGGGTGGGTGGGCTGTGAGCTGTAGCCACTGGGACCTTCCCTCTCTGCAAGTGGGGGGCAACCAGGGAGGCAAACAGCCTTACACTAACATTCCAAGTTCTTCCGTGCAAGCCACGAGGACTAGAAACTTGGCTGCATTGTATGATTTCTTCCTAGCTGACAAGATGTTACCTAGGCGGGCAAATGAAACGTCTGCAAGAAAATCACCAAGCTCAGAGAGCACCAAGGACCCCACAGTATTTCTTCATATATAAATGCATAAATGGCAGCTATCTCAGTATTCAATTCGCTGCCCTCCAGATATTATTCCACACTACAGCACCCATAATCCCTTGCCACTAGTCAAGGGGATAATCAACCCATTATATTTTTAAAGGCACTGGGCACCCTTGGGCGGTGCTTTTTTTTTAAAGAACAGTTTTTTTTTTTTAAAAAAAGAACAATTTATACTAATGTACGTGGCAGATCAGTTACCAAGAAATATTTGCAAAATATTTGGAATTGGATCTGGTGACCCTGACACAGCCCCCCAATCCCAAAAAGGAAGAATCATTAAAAGGTCTTGTTTTTCCTTTGGAAACCTGCCCGATTTTGCAAACTAACATTTCAAGAACCCTTTAAGGCAATGTTTCTCAACCTTGACAATTTTAAGGCATGTGGACTTCAACTCCCAGAATTCCACAATGCTGGCTGTGGAATTCTGGGAGTTGAAGTCCACATAACTTAAAATTGTCAAGGTTTAGAAACACTGCTTTAAGTCAACAACAGAGACACTAAAATAATATATATATATATATATATATATAAAATTCTGTCTCCTTTAATTCATTCATATAAGGGTTCCCCTCCCCCCCCCAGCTGGCTTTCAGTTTGATCATTTTGAAAAAATGTAAAAAAAAAAAAAAAAAAAAGAAATCGCAAAACTTAAACAACATAAAACCAAAGATTGAATTGGGGGGGGGGGAGCGGTAGGGACCAACGCAAAGACCCCCCACCGATTAAATAAACTTTTTCAGAAAGTTTGCAAAGCGCCTCACCTGCGGCGGCTGTCTCGCTTAGCGAAGCAAACCCGCTTCTCCCAGTCGGAGGAGCGAGGCAGGAGGGGGGAGGACACTGAAAACGACCCCCACCCCTTTTTTCCCGTTGCAGCGCCTCCCCGCGCCGCCTGTTTCAACGGACGGAGATGCAGCGGGGGGAATTGAAGGGGGTCTCGCACGGCCGCAGCGCCGAGAGCTCCGGGAAGGGGACCGGCAGGGAGGCTGCGACGGCCGAACACCGCCAAGCGAGTTCAGCCCGTTCGGAATCAGATTCAGAAGAGAGCTGGAAGGGACCTTGGAGGTCTTCTAGTCCAGCCCCTTGCTCCAACAGGAGACCCTATTCCATTTCAGACCAGTCTCTCCTTAAAAACCTCCAGTGATGCAGCACCCACAGCTTCTGGAGGCAAGCAGTTCCGCTGGTTCATTGTCCTCCCTGTCAGGAAATTTCGTCTTAACTCTAGGCTGGATCTCTCTTTAATGATAACAATAACAGCAACAGAGTTGGGAGGGACCTTGGAGGTCATCTAGTCCAACCCCCTGCTCAGGCAGGAAACCCTATAGCAGTGGTTCTCCACCTGTGGGTCGGGACCCCATTTGGGGTCGAATGACCATTTCACGGGGGTCACCAAACAATGCAGTCCGCCATTTCCCCCCCCCCTTTTCCTTAGCTGTGCTACTCCCTTTTATTCTATTGGCTTTTGAAAGCCAATAGAAGAGACTCTCTTGAACAGAGTCTAATTCTATTGGCTTTCCAAAGCCCATAGGAATTGTCCAGGCTGTCTCTGCCCTGCTGAGCCTGCCAAAAGTCCCATTCTGCAAATGGTGCTGCACCAGTTGAGTAGTCCTCGACTTACAACCGGTTAAGTAGTCCTCAACTTACGACCGGTTGGGGGTCGCGGCATTAAAAAGGTTGAGAACCACTGCCCTATACCAAGGGTAGGCAACCTTGGCTCTTTTATGACTCGTGGACTACAATTCCCAGAATTCCTGAGCCAGCCACGCTGAGGGGAAAGGGAGAGGTTTCCAAGCTGAGCTAGGCTGGCTCAGAAATTCTGGGAGTTGAAGTCTACGTGTCACAAAAGAGCCAAGGTTGCCTACCCCTGCCCTATACCCATTCTGGAGAAATGGCCATCCAATTTCTTCTTAAAAGCCTCCAGTGATGGAGCACCTGCAACTTCTAGTGGCAAGCAATTCCACTGGTTCATTGTCCTCACTGTTAGGAAGTTTCTCCTTAATTCTAGGTTGCTTCTCGCCTTGATTAGTTTCCATCTGTTATTTTTTGTCTTGCTCTTGGAAAATAAGTTGACCCCCCCTCTTTTTTATGGCAGCCCCACAAATACTGGAATTCTGGTCCTTTCTTCCCCCTCTAGACTAGCCATACCCGATTCCTGCAAACATTCTGGGTATGTTTTTGTCTCCATGCTTTTAATCCTCTTAGTTGCTCTTCTCTGCCACTTTTCCCAAGGTCTCGCCATCTTTTTTGTCATGAGGTGACCGAAAACTGGATGTGGAAGTGATGGGCTGGATGCCAAAACAAAGCAAGATTAGGCACACAATTCAAACGAGTCCAGGAAGTCTGTAAGGGAGGAGTCTGCTAAGAACAAAGGAATCCTTATTCACAGGGAACATGCAGGGGTAAAGCGTGTAACAATTTTGGATGGTTAAAAAGCTGGTAAAAGGAACAAAGACTCAGGCATCTTGGAAGCTAAGCTAAAAGCTAGGAATAGAGATGGCCTGGAGTCAGGGGTCTTCAAACTTGGCCACTTTAAGACTTGTGGACTTCAACTTCCAGAATTCCTCAGCCAGCCCTTAGGGCTGGCTGAGGAATTCTGGAATTTGAAGTCCACAAGTCTTAAAGTGGCCAAGTTTGAAGACCCCTGGCCTGGAGCAAATAGGATGTGCATTAGATAACTCCTGAAGCATTCATTAGCCAAGGCTTAGGAATAGGGACGGCTAGAGACCAATAGAATAATTGCTAGATTATTATTGAAATGTTTATGAGATGATATAAGACAGTGGTTCTCAACCTTTTTAATGCCGTGACCCCCAACCGGTTGTAAGTCGAGGACTACTCAACCGGTCGTAAGTCGAGGACTACCCAACTGGTGCAGCACCGTTTGCAGAATGGGACTTTTGGTGGGCTCAGCAGGGCAGAGACAGCCTGGACAATTCCTATTGGCTTTTGAAAGCCAATAGAATTAGACTCTATTCAAGAGGCTTTCAAAAGCCAATAGAATAAAAGGGAGTAGCACAGCCAAGGAAAAGGGGGGAAAAAATGGCGGACTGCGTTGTTTGGCGACCCCCGTGAAATGGTCGTTCGACCCCAAATGGGGTCCCGACCCACAGGTTGAGAACCACTGATATAAGATAAGATAACCTTCATTGTCATTTTTTACTGTGGGCACAACGGCATACATGAAAAATGAAATTTAGTCACCCGCTCTCAAAGTAAACACATACATAACACACACCTAACATACTATGAACAACATTATGTACAGACCCATACCCCTACATGTTCATAACAAATAAACATTAAACGCTGTCCATCTTAAATATATAACGGAAGGAGGAAGCTTGAGAGCTCACAAGGTCAATGCTGTATGGAATGAAACTATGGCTGAATCTGGATGTTTTGCTTCACCTTCTGCTTTAGTGAAACTATATAAAGCTTTCTTAATTCTGTGGTTTGGGGTTCCCTGGCAGTTTTGGCCAGGATTCATTTTTTCGGGGTACTCCAATAAAAGACAACGAAACCTGCACCTCGGGTCTGATGTTCTTCATCGTTTTCAGCACCAGGCTCAAATCCGAATTGGGGTCAATGGAAGGAAGGAGAACCTTCTAGCTCTTCTTGATGGAGCTAGCAGGGACATCTCCACCCAGTCGTCAACTTTACTAGGCACCTACAAAGTCCCACATGTTTGTGTGTGAATCAGAATAGAGCTGGAAGGGACCTTGGAGGTCTTCTAGTCCAACCCCCTGCTCAAGCAGGAAACCCTATACCATTTTGGACAAATGGCTGTCCAGTCCTTTCTTAAAAACTTCCAGTGTGGGAACATTCACCGCTTCTGGAGGCAGGTGGTTCCACTGGTTAATTGTTCTAACTGTCAGGAAGTTTCTCCTTAGTTCTAGGTTGCTTCTCTCCTGGATGAGTTTCCATCCGTTGCTTCTTGTCCTGCCTTCAGGGGCTTTGGAAAATAGTTTTGATTCCCTCTTCTTTGGGGCAGCCCCTCAAATACTGGAATACTGCTATCCCGTTCCCCCTACTCCTTCTTTTCTCTTTCACGAGACTGAAGATCTGGGATGGAAAGCACATGTGAGGGAGAGCTTCATTCCCCTACCTGGAATGAAGTGAAATCTGGTGAAGAGAAAGGAAAAGTTGCAATGCTGTGTTCCAATTACTTCGCTTTTATTTCTATTTATTTCAATAGACTAGACAATCACCTATCTGAGATGGTCTAGGTTCTCCTGTTTGAGCAGGGGGCTGGACTAGAACAGGGCTTTTCACCCTTTTCACCCATTGTACCACTTTTAGGACATAGCAACATCCGAGTACCACCAGTCGCCTAGCAAGGTGTCAAAAACTTGATGATCAAAAAAAAAAAAAAAAAGGAAAAAAGTGATGAAGTACAGGTAGTCCTCGACTTGCAACAGTTCGCTTAGTGACTGTTCAAAGTTACAATGGCACTGAAAAAAGTGCCCCCCGAGCCACAGCTGAGCAAGATACCTGCCTGCCCACCCGGCCGCACTCTTCCTCCTGTCTGAGGTTTTCATTGTTGTGAGCATTTCTGTTGAGGATTGGCAGCGGGGGTGGGGTGGGGGGTGTTTGGTTTTTATCCCCCCCCCTCATCTGCTGGGTGGTCGCAGCAGGATTGGTCACTTCACATGACCCTGGAACATTGTGACCGTCATAAATATGAATCAGTTGCCAAGCATCTGAATGTAAATCACAAGACCCTGGAGATGCTGCAACATTCCAGCTGATCGGCGCTTCTTCTGGGCTCAGTAGAAGCACCAGGATCAGCGCTGCGCTCCAGCTGGAGCCTGGTGCTGATCCTGGCGCTTCCGCTGAGCCCTGACAGTCCTGAAGAATCGCCAATTAGCTGGAAAGGAGCACTGATCCTGGCGCTTCCGCTGAGCCCTGACAGCCCTGCAGCTCCAGCCGTCTCTCGCTCAGGCTTGTGCGGTGCTGCCACTGGTTCAGCTCATTCTCCTCCCCCACTACTACTTTTCTAGGAGGGTTGCGTACCACCTGCCAGGTGCCAATGTACCACAGGTGGTACCCGTCCCACTGGTTGAAAAGCCCTGGACTAGATGACCTCCAAGATCCCTTCCAGCTCTATTCTATTCTAATTTCTATCGAAGCTGAAGGGACTCTGGGCAGCTCAAAGCTTCGAACCACAAAGGCAAGCATCTGAATTTTGATCACATGACTGTGGGTATGTTGCAAAGGTTGTAAGTGTGAGAAATGGTCATAAGTCACATTTTTCAGTGCGGTTGTAACTTTGAACGGTCACTAAATGAACAATTGTAAGTCAAAGACTACTTGTACATGCTTGACATTCGGAAACAGCATTCAGGCTCCTTGTCTATCATTCAGCATTTAAAAAAAAACTTTGGGGGAGATGTGGGATCCCCAGACAACCAAATTTTAGCTACATTCTTCCTGCTTCCAAAAACAAGGCTGGCTTGTCCTCCCCGAGCATAAAAGGAGTATTTTTCTCATAAGCCAAGGAATTCAGGTGGACGGGTCCCCTTCAGCCCCATCAGGGAGACATCAAGTGAGTGAGAGAGAAAAAAACAATCTATAATTCTCAACAAACCTGGTTTGTTTTAAACACTAGTGTTCCAATTGACAAAATAAATCCTCTAAATTTGCCAGGATGGAAAGTAAACAAACAAACAAACAAACAAAAAAAATGAGGAACAAGGCTTGTAAAAATCTCCAAAGCAGAAGACAAATTAGAATGCAAAATTGCACTGTCCTATTCTTGCATTTTTCCCTTTGCTTTTTAATTTTAGCAAAACAACTGTCTTTTTTTTCTTTAAAAAAATTGATATTTCTTCAAACCAAGCTGCCTTCTGATCACACCTTAAAATCCTTTGTCCGCCGGGGTCATTTGCTTCAACGCCCTGTTATAATTTGCCACAACGGGGAATCCGTAAAGCAATTTTCCCCTCCATTGTGTTCAGCCCCAACACCCATCATTCCCACCGTCGCTGGGAATGATGGGAATGATGCTGGGAGCTGTAATCCAAGCCCCCTCCTCCAGACTCCAGAAAGAAATCTAGACTGTGAAAATTGCAATCAAAAGAAAATATTAGCAGGGGACATTTTTTAAAAA